CGGTAAGTGCGTGTTCATATTAAATAATGATTATCAATTAAGTGTTTTAATTCATATATGAAATTTTATATCACAACTAGCTGCCCCGGCAGACTTCGTAGTACCTCAATCAATAAATAAAAGACCAAACTTTTGTATAATATTAACTTAAAACAAACAAAAGCAATCCGTCCGACGGGGGACACGTCAAAGGAAAAACAATTGTTATTTTTATTCCATTCCGAGCATTTTCATATTTATCTACCTTTTAAACCTTCTATGGACTTCCAAAAATAAATCAAGACCAAAATTAACCAAATCGTTCCAGCCGTTCTCGAGTTTTAGCGAGACTAACGAACAGCAATTCATTTTTATATAAGTATACATAGATAGAAGTACATGTCATTGTGTTTAGTTTAATAAAAATAATTGAAGATTTTATAAACTCCATGCTGGCAATAATAGCATCGCTTGAAGCCGATGGTCACACTGAAAGAGAGAAGAAGAAAATATGAATGACCGTTGGTACCTACATTATATGTTAGCATTTAACAAAAGCTGTTTGTTGGAAAGCTGTTTGCTTAAGTTCATTGTTTTGCATTCATTCAGCCCTGTTAAATTTCACCCACTTAGATTTCATCTTAGAACAACTTTGGCAGTACAACTGAATGTTTTTCAAAGATCAAACGATGCATAAAATACTTTATTTACCTTAACCATAACCGCAAGGGCGAGCGGTGAAGGGGAAAATTTAATTCAAGCACATAACTCAGTAAAACAAAGGAAGTTTTGCTCGTGATGTATTTTGTTTCGAGGATCACCGCATACTTAGAAAGGTTTCTTTACTTTTATTAAGCCTAGTGTCGAACAAAATTTTTGTTATCCCTATGATAATTTTATTTCAGCTTTGTTTTGCTTTCTCGTTCAACTTTTGCGCTTGTTTTTAGAACATTTTTTGTAGGAGTAGCATTTTAGAATCCATACTGTTAGAATTTTCTGATTTAAGATGAAATACCGTTCTTTATTTCAAACTTTATCTTTGCACGACTTTGGTTGTAACAACAATTTTGTTTTGTAACTCAAGTGAAAAAAAAAAGCCCTCAGCAATTTTCAGATATCCGAACGAATTATGCCCCACTCCAAGAGGACTGATCGATTAAATTTATCGATTCCTCTCTTCCGACGTAGAAGATTCCGCCGACAATGGAGTACCACCACTGTGACTGCGACGACGATACGGTAGAGCACACGCTCGCGCACTGATCCGCATGGTTGGGTGCCGTCTCCTCGTCGTACAAATGGCCCGGACTTGCCACTGCCAACCGTGCCTACGATGATCCGTAGCGAAGATTCCTGGAAGGTATTGCTAGACTTCTGCGAATCTACCATATCGCGGAAGGAGGCGGCAGACCGACAGAGGGACAGCTGAGCCCTTTTTGCACCAACCCGTACTGCGCTGCCGAGTCGGAGGCCCGCTTTCCCAGCTTCTGCCGTGAAGCAGTATTGCGTTTGAGTTTAAAAAGTAGCTCAGTAGTTGTATTATAAAACTGAAACTTAGAACTCATGCCTCTAGGGGGGTGGCGGCATTTACGTTGTAGATGTTTAAGGGCTCCTGTAACCACTTAACACCAGGAGGACCGTGAACTTGTCCATCCTTTTAAGCAACAAAAAAAGGACTAATCTTGGATCCGTTCAGTGCCTACCAGTACCTACTGTTGCTGTGACGCACTCATCTGTTTATGAAACTCGAGATGTCTGTTGAAAATTTGCGTCGCATTTTTTTGTCATAAAGATTTTTCCTCCTAACTGTAAAAACCAGGAAATAAAACAGTAACGCCATCTCTGATTGCTTATGCAAATGAAAAAAATAAAACAAAAATTTGAGCATTCATTCTATAACGTTTTTTATGTTGTCAAATATAAATACAGATGGCAGTAGTAAGATCTGATCTGAATTTCAATTAAATCCTTGATTTCACAAGATAAAGACAAATGCAATGTAAAGGTCGAATCTCTATTAAAGGAATACGAGTTTCAGGATTTATAAAAAACTACAAGACGGCAACGGCGGATCCAGGGGGGGTCATGGGGGTCATGACCCCCCCTGAGCTGGTTTTAGGACTTAGGTGGACCACTAATTGAACATAATGATTTTTACTTGTATCTAATGTTATCAAAGTTAAATTATAAGTTCTTGACTTGGCCACGACTATGTGACCCCCTCCTGGCGCCAAAGCTGGATCCGCCCTTGCAAGACGCTCCGTTTGATTTCATTCACAAAATAGAGTCTCCGAGTTTTGGACTGCTTGATGTGACTTTTAATGTCTGCGGTAAAAAAAAAAAACATCTAAAAATGTCCGGCATTATTAAAACGAAAGTTTAAAACGAATTTTGTGAAGACTTGTGGTTTTACTTTTCAATCCTAATGCATCGAGACATCCAGTAAACTGTTGTTTAAATAATAAATTTTTTAATTAATTATTTAAACTACAGTTTACTGGACACACCTTTTGGTGACGAGTAGAAGCATTCCAACCGAGCATGCATAATCAATTTTCGCAAACAATATGTACTATAAATACCCTCATATTGTTTTATTCTTGGAACTACTAATAATTGGTATAATGGAACTATGTAGTTAATATTTTTTAAATTATACTAAAAAAATACATAAAATCAATAAATACAAACATTACACACACTACCATGTGTTTGACACACACACACGCGTGCGTACTATATGTTTATTATCAAACTTTTCTTATTGCTTATGTATATGTGGTCAAATTGAGAGTAAATTATTTGTCTAAAGTGTATTCTTGGCGAAATTTGTGATTATAGACCTATAATAGTCTTTGAATCATAATAGTGTACAAAATTATAATTTCAATTAATTATAGTCGAATTTCGACTAGATAATTTAGTACGCTATACTAGCAATGTTGCTGACCGCAACTCCTCTTATTTACTTTATCACTAACATTAAATAGAACAAGGAATAGGAAGGCACAAAAAAAACCCGAAGAGTTAAAAATTGTGAAATGAAAAACCAACGTTCATATTATATTTTTTTATTAAATTTATACACAAATCATAATAAGTCTAACCTTAGCCACTAGCCCTTAGAGGACGAAAGTGAATATTAAATCTAAACAGATACACAATTCAAGCCTTATTAATACTCAGAAATTTAATACCTTAGATAATTTTCACAACCGATTATCAATTTATTACGATGATAATTGGGAACCGATTTATAAGGACAATTTCCAATATATAATTTACTTTAATATAAATTATTATGTGACGAGCATTCAATTTCCGCAGTTCAAATTTTTAGACAAATGCAGTATTGCACATCTGTCGTCATGTTTGCGTCTAATTTGGTAAATTTTGTAAAGTTGAACAATAACAAAGATGACGTCGTGTTTATAGTAAGAATGATTTTTGAATAGCTTGATTTATAGTTTTTCGAATTCAAATTTAAACTAGAATTTCACTAAAGCAATATAACGATATTCGGTAAAGAGCTCGTGGCTTATAATATCGATATTATCTCTGGATCGTGTAATATCTCAAATGTTTATCAAATGGACGCTATCGAATAATATCGAACAAATAGTATACAATAAACTTTCCTTGTGTCAATTAGGTTTTTAATAATCATAAACAATCCAAAATCGATAAAGCTATTTTTCTAACCACATACTGTAATCGGATTTCGCTCTATACCAATATTATTCACGAGCCAATCAATTGTTAATGAGGCCTTACATCAGTAAGTTGAACGCTAAACACAATCTAGCAAATTAATTGCAAATATTATAATTATCAACTACTTTAAGCGGGGACATCGAATTTCACAAAACATTTTCCGATCACCAGTAATGGTTTTCTTTGAAATAGTGAGAAATTTGGAGAATATAATAGTTAAACTCGTGTACTCATTGTTCTACTGAAATAATGTGAAAAAAAGAGATAAAATCCGAAATTAAAATTTTATCAAAATCTTTACACAATATTTCATAACAAATAGTGGATTTTAGACCACATAACACATAATGGACATTTATTCATTCAACAATAAACGCATTACAAGTGACTATGGACTAGTGTATCTAATTATAATCTTTATGTACTATGATAACTTAAAACATACATGCCTATATGCATAATTTATTTTAATTATTATATTAATTTAAATATATAAAGTTAAATAAATAAGGAATTTTAATAGGAATAAATGTTACGCGAAAATATTGTACAAATAAAAAAATCGCATTAAGTTTTCCGTTCGTTAATAAAATCACAGGTCAAATAAGTAAATTCATTTTAGACTTAATCTTTATTCTAAGCTATATTGTACTTCGATTGGATCATACAAAGAAATCTAAGCTGCGGTTAGCGGAGCAGCAATACTATCATCAAACTTACTGTCATCTATTCTGAAGAATTATAAGATCCTCTTTTTTGAGAAAAAATATTTTGCTATTCTTATAGATGCCAACATAATTCAATACAATATACATATCATTTAAAATGGCAAATTCCTAGTGAGAATAAACTATTTATCTTCACCATGATTTTTATTTTGTCAACCACCAAATAATTAACTAATACGCACACGTATTTCAAGCCTTGTTTTATTTATATGTCGAAAATAAATTAAAAAGGCAAGTCATGAGAAAACTATTTTGTAAATATTGAACTGTACTGTAATATTTATAAACTGTTTGATTTTCATTCACTGAAACAGAACAGAACAAAAGAGGGCTACAGTATAAAAAATAAATGAATGTATTCCATTAAAAACATGCAAAGTAATAATTATAGTTTGATTTGATCGCCGACATCAATTAATTAACTCAGCAGTTTTAAACTTTATAATATAGAAAGATACTTTTTTTAGAATAATACATAGGCAAAATGAATGTACAATTAATAAAAATAAACCTTAGTTTATTGCAGGCAACACTTGATTGAATTAATTAGAAAAAAAAATTATTATTTATTTTTATTATTATTAATACCGTATATTATTTTCAAAATTATTATTTTCCAATAATTTTTATTTATTTGAAATCGTATTTTCAGGATATTATTTTATATTCGTAAACTTTCTAGCAGCTTTAAGTTGAGCATAGTTGGCTCGAATACGGAAACAAAGACACGTTATAAAATGTTAAGAATGTTGTGTTCAAATTTTGCAGATTTAAAGCAGACTTTTATTGTATTGTTAAAAATGTTTTACTTGATGTGAATAAAATGAAATCTTGTTAAGAAACGAGCTATTTTCACTATATGGTTTAGTATATTATTTTGCTCGGTGGCGCTGTAGTATTGGAACTCATAGCTTGCTCTAATGTATCTAAGCGACGATAAGCATGACCTCTGCTGTTTCTCCTTCTGCCTTGACGTCCTTCGACGATCAGACCGAGAACCTGTAAGTTTACGAAAAGACATCTTAAGCATACATACGTGTCACACACTTTATTAATGTATCTTAACAAGCACACTTTTGATTAAGTTTTTTTAAGTAATAAATTGGGTAAATACCACCAACATTCTTTTTATTTATTTTATTTATTGCATAGATGAGTGAACTAGCTCACAGCCCACCTGGTGCTAAGTGTTTACCGGAGCCCATAGACATCTACAACGTAAATGCCGCCATACACTCTGAGATACGAGTTCTAAGATCTCAGTATAGTTACAACGGCTGCCCCACCCTTCAAACTAAAACGTATTACTGCTTCACGGCCGAAATAGACAGGATGGTGGTACCTACCCGTGGGGTCTCACAAGAGAATCTACCACTAGTAACTACGCAAATTATAATTTTACGGGTTTGATTTTTATTACACGATGTTACTCCTCGCTGTGGAAGGCAATGTGAACATTTGTTAAGTACGTATTTCATTCGAAAAATTGGTACCCGCCTGCGGGATTCGAACACCGTTGCATCGCCATTCACCACATAACGTCTGACTTTGGAATAAACTACACTTCACGATGTTCCTCAAGCCTATGTTCTTCGAGAGAAGTTTCAATAGGGTCTTCTGCAGAAAGCAGCCGCTTGGGGTTACCCTATATAGAGCAATGGTAATATCTCAGTATCAAGTGGGCCGTATGGTCATCTGCCTACATTCGTAATAAAAAAGTACGTTGTTGTGTCTTGTAACCACTTAACACCGGCCTTGTACTACTTTGCCCAACATAAGCAATCAATAAAAAATAGAGTTTCATTAAAACATTGCTTACCAATTTTCCAACTCTGCTCTTGTTGTAATACAATACGTAAATGACTACAACCAAAATAACAGCGGTCAGGAAAAACGTGAAGAAGTGATCGTCATCCGGATATCCATCTTGGATAGTGCTCGGGTAGAACTCTGAAATTCAAAAGATATTTAATATTTAAGATAGATAGATATAAGATAGATAGATAAGGTAGATACATTAGTGTAGTCCTTAACACTATCTGTATTTTAAACAAAATAAAATAAATCAAAAAGAATAGGTTTCTTGTGTATGGTAAATATTCATTTTCACATAAGGAATTCAACTGATTTTGATATTATTAAACATATTTCTAAATAATATATGACAAGTAGTTAAATCAGCTATAATTTCAACGACAAATTCCTACTAAGACTATTATAATTGATACTTCATTACTTAATCTTATTTAGAATTGTTATGTAACATATAAATAGGGAAAGATAAAACGGTCCACGTTTTGTCAAACGCCTTGGTCAAACTTTTTCTTTTATTTTTTTGTTAATGCTGGTCATATTAGGCCAAAGTAACAAAATTATTTTGTTATCATGAGACCTTGATGCGTGTGAAATTTTCAAATGAATCCGATGTTACGAAGTTGCTGGACATGACGTAAAAAGATTTCTTTGCGATTGGTATAGGTCAGGCTAATAAAACGTGTGGAGAATGGATGGGTGTGTGATTTTTGCACCCGGGTATATTAATTTCACACCTATAGCGATGCCTGAAACCTTTAACATAATAGAGTTGGTCACCATACAGGCGGGGCTCGTACATCCCGCTGAGCTGGAGATCGATAACCACCGTAGCGATTTCTAGTAAGCAAGTTCAAGTTTAAAGTTTTCTCACAATGGGGATTAAATGCTTAAGTAAAACGGTAGGTGGAATTTAATAAGCTCTATTAAAGCCGTTTTTTTTATATCGAGTGGAGACAACTCGCTCTCTCCCCCAACAAATATCGGCCAAGCGCACACTGAGGCGGCCCCTTTCTCCCCGCTACTTTTTAGCCTTTATATAAACGACATTCCCCGGTTGCGAGCGACCCAAAGTACCCTTTTCGCCGATGATACGGTTATCTGCTACTCGAGTAGAAAGATATCGTTCTTGCATAAGAAACTCCAGTTTGCCCAACCGAATTAGGTCATTGATTCCTGAAGTGGCGCAACAACATTCTTCATCAGCCCACAGTCTTCCACTGCTGGACAGAGGCCTCCCCCAAACCTAGCCACAAAGACTGATCCTGCGCTGCCTGCATCCAGCGGATCCCCGCGAACCTCAATAGATCGTCGGTCCATCTTGTGGGAGGCCTACAAACGCTACGTCTTCCAGCACGCGGTCGCCACTCAAGAACTTTCTGGCCCATTACAACAACAACAATTACTATTACAGCAACAACATTAACCCCAAGAAAAGCACAGCCATGTACAGATTAGAGATTTTGTTATTGGGTCGCGATTTTGATTCGACGGTAGATTCTGTGAAGCACTGCTCTGGCTAGGGCTAGTGTTAGCAAATTCTACCGGCTACTACTCGTCCGACCGTGACTGGAATAGACCCTTAAGCCACTAGCTAATAGATAGAAAAGCATTCTCTTTACGTGCAACCTCCACATTTCAGCAATAGGGCGTGACTCAACTGTTCAATCACAAACGACACACAAAAAAGGTCATAATGATAGCAGACGTTAGACTCCAAAATTGATCACGAGATACCAAACTTTGTGATGATAGAAGGATTTAGTTTTCCTGCTACCAGCGTAGTGATGATCCTCTAACTTGTTGAGCATAAATTTTAATACAATAAGAGGAAAAGTTATGTACCCGTATTATGAATTATGCTAAAAGATGGTTTTATAACCTTGTGCTAACAGTTACTGTTTACTTAACAATCGATTACATACAATGACTTAACTAGAAACTAAAACATCTGTTTACACAAGTTTGTTATTTTCCAACTCCTTACAAATATATTTTGCAGCTTGTAGGTTTCGATTCAATAAGATAAATTTATTGTCTTTTCTTTACGAATGTTTTACATTTCAATATTTGTATTAGTTGAAAACAACAAAAGAGCTGATTTTTTGCCATTATATATCATTGAGCCTATCCCCCAACTGTTATGAAATATTCATAGACAGCAATACTGGAAGTCAACAAGGTGTTAATAAAACCTAACCTAATAATAATAAAAAACATAAATCACTAACTACTAGCCTCTTTAGTATTTTTTGTGAAAATAACAAATTCAGCTGTTATTCAAAAACCAAATATATGCAAACTAGATTAACTCTAGCACCATCTACTTCCTGATCTGTCTATACTTTGTACAATTCTGCTTACCTTAATTTTTGCATTGAGTTTCTCTATTCATTCCTAAATTCTTTGATCATGTAAATAAAATATGAAGTGAATTCATACTCATCAGTTCAGTAACCAAGGTATGAAGCATCAAGTCTGAATGATAGAATAGTATATATTTCAATACAACTGATACTTCTTCAATGTAATACTTTGATGAGTAGTGGCATTCACAATGTAGTATCTATGGAAACTAATAATGATGATGTGACCATTCAGAGTAATCATAAATAAAAATTACCTGTATGTTTTACTTCTCTAAATGATGGCATTGCTGGTTCAACTTTAATATTGTCCTGTTTATTCTCTTCAAATTGTTCATTTTCTTCTTTAGATGCTGGAAATGATAAATTACTTAATTACATACTAGATTTGAAACATGCATCAGTTCTAGCTACTATTATATTGTATTAAATAAAAGTATTTATGGAAATCTGCTAACTTATTCAAAATGGGAGACAAACAAGCACTTAAAATCAATTATATTAAATTGCTTATCTTAACCATGCAAGGCCATGCAAGGCCTGGAGGTGATTGCTAAGGAATAAGTTTTAACTGAATACTTAATAATTACCTTTTTGCGGAGGATCATTAGGATTTGATATAACCGGCACTACCTTTGCATTAATCTTATCATCCTTTTTCTCCTTTTGTTGTTTATCATCCTCAAAACCTGGATCCTCCACGTTGTCTTCATCAGCAGCATCAGGATCATTTTTGGGAATCTCAGAATCTGAAGATACAATTTCAGCTAATTTAATAATGTTCTTTTAATTTACATTACATGTACTAGTTTATATTATATTTTTAAAACATAAATATATAACAATTAAAATATGCTTTGAAGTTCGCTTCTTGTTAATTTTAAATATATATAATACGGAAACTGCTCTCTTTTGATGTATGTAGTCAAAGCCATGAATGCATGTCCTGCTTACTACATCTTAAAAAGATAAAGTCTGTTATAGGCTCCGAGATGAATGAGGAAGGATCCCTATAATAAAAAAGCCACTTTCTCATATATATTTTTATACTACACAAACCATCATTTCCTGGGTAGTCATCAATATCTTCTTGGGGGTTGATATTTGGATTTTCAATTACACTGTTTGATTTTGGTTCTTCATGTTTCTCGATTTTCTCAGCAACTGGAGCAATAAATGGAACCTGTTTGACAACTTGAGGTTGTTTATCAGATGATGCATTTGGTATTACATTCTGAGGCACATTGGGTTTTAGTTCAGGTAGTACATCACTTTTTAGTTCCTGGTCTTTATTTGACTTAGCTTGCTTAAGGGTTTCTTGCTCATTCAGTGGTGGTAATTTTGAACTAGCATTAATTGGACTGGATGAACCTTCTGGTGACTGAATAGCTTTGTCTTTAGGTTTTTCATTAGTTCCTGCACTGACAATGATATCAAGTGAGTCATTTTGTTTTGGCTCAGATATGGTCTTAATTATGCTCTCATGGCCTGGATTGGCCACAACATGTGGTTGAGTTTTCAATAATTCGTCACCCCATTTGTAAAATTTACAATAAAAGTTAACATCTAAATTAGTCCAAACGTCGACACCACAAACATCAGAGCATCCAACTTGTAGAATTTTACTTGAGTAAAGTTTATAGTCAGTAAATTTTGATAAGACCCAGTTTTTCGCTTCTGAACACACATTGTCCAAGGTTTGTTCCTTATTAATTTCGGCTACGTAATCTTCCTTTAAAGTAATTTGTGACGTATTAGTGGCCAAGCACAAGCGGTTGGCCATATCATAAAACAGCAAACATTTAAATTCTTTCCGCGGGTCTTGCGGACACTGATCTATGGCCGACTTAATTTGCTTATTCAAAAACTGATTTTCACAACGATCTGAAAGTTCTTTCAATAATGCCGAAACTGGCTTCGGTGAGGAAGGCACAGGAAGACCTAAGCTGCGATAGCATGAATTTATTAAGAGGATTGTGAGTACGTATCGAAACATCTTGTTTTATTTAGCACAAACTTTAGTGAGTGAATTTTTGAAACCAGAGCCCTCAGTATTTTTATTTAAAATTGCATGCACTTCGATTTTCGTCAAAAAAACATCTATTCTTTCTCTGTCTTCTTCAACTGACTTCAACCCTAAAACTTTTTATGCCCAATTTTATAGGCACAGGGATCATAGCCCATACTTTAAGGATTTTGATTTAAAAATCTGAAGTAATGTTTTTTTTACAAAGGTATGCACGTGGTACAACATGATGAAATAAATGAAATTGATTTTGCGATGAAATTTGTAGAAATGAAATGACCTGAGGAGAAATATCATTTCGATTAAAAATTAGGATTTGGTGGTGAAACTGAGCAAGTTTTTTTTTTTAAGTTATTCTTCTTTAGGCGCGTTATGAAAAATTGATGAGAGTGAAATTTTACGATGCGCGCCCACCGTGACACGACATTAACAGAAATGAAGTTGCTCACTAAATCGCTCATTAGAATACGACCGACGTACCTAGCTTGGCGAGTCTGAATATAGCCGCAGGTGAACTTTCCGAACCATACCGAGAATTACCGAATTTATACGATGTCAAGAAAAGGGATGTCCAATATGCGTGTTTGAGGATGTTGTTTAATCGATTTTTTTTCAAATTGATTAACATTTATATAAGAAAAAGAAATAAATTTAATAAAATAAAGTATAACTTCTTACGCGCGTACATAAGTACACGCACCCTTTTTTTATTGCTTATATGGGTGTACGAGCTCACAGCCCACCTGGTGATAAGTGGTTACTGGAGCCCATAGACATTTACAACGTAAATGCGCCACCCACCTTGAGATATAAGTTCTAAAATCTCAGTATAGTTACAACAGCTGCCCTACCCTTCAAACCGATACGCATTACTGCTTTACAGCAGAAATAGGCAGGGTGGTGATACCTACCCGCACGGACTCACAAGAGGTCCTACCACCATTATAAAGTTGAAGTATTCGGATACGAAAAACAAACCGTTGGTTAGTGACAATCTTGTGACCCAAGTTGACTTTTTCTTAAAGTCATATTATGGTGGCGAAACATCATCTTTTATCTTAAAAGTAATTTAATCACCCAGTCCTTAAAATTGGAGTCATGGTGACCTATAATGGTATAATTGTTAATTTTAAGACGTATTAAAAACCCAAACAACCGTGCCTATTTTTTAAATCGGGTTTATTCAGAATTGAATCCTACAGAATTTAAATTAATTTAAATTTTAAGATAAATTAATTGCGAATTATCTGCGACGTTTCGATCAATTACACTTTTCGTGATAACTGACAAGAGGGTTTCTGTCATTTATTGAATACTTTATTAACTATTATTTCATATCATTTCATACCATGTTTCAGAAAAAATATATATAAAAGATTAGGCTGTATGGTATGATACTTTTGCCTTTCCATTTGGAAAAACAAAACTACTAAGTACTACTAAAGATGATAAATTAATTTTACTGAAGTCCGCATAACGTGTTTATCTCGGTATATTAATATTGCATAGCGGAGTGAACCAACTCACGACCTACCTAGAGTTAAGTGATTCCCGGAGACCATAGCGTCGTTAACAGCTTTAAGCCACCCACCTTCATACATGGGAATTAAGTATGAGTTACATTGTATAACGACCCCTCCAACTCCACCCCTTAAAGACAATAGGAATGACTGCTTCTCGTCATTAATAGGCAGACTAGGTAGGCAGCGGCTTGGCTCTGCCCCTGGCATTGCTGACGTCCATGAGCGACGATGACCACTTACCATCAGGTGGGCCGTATTCTCGTCTGCCTACAAAGGCAATAAAAAAAAGGACTTAAATTGGTGAAATTATGGCACTAAATATTGCTACTTTGATTTATAACATATTTATTTACGTATGTTCTGAGATTTCGGAGTTGGGGTGCAGTTGAAGTACCTCGGCCTCATTCTGGACAGTCATTTGACCTTCCGTGCTCACTTTCATAATCTGGTCCTTCGTTTGTTGGGGGTGGCCGGCGCGTTAAGCTGGCTGCTTCCCAACGTCGGGGGGCCTGACCAGGTGACGCGCCGTCTCTATACAGGGGTGATGCGTTCAATGGCCTTATACGGGGTGCCCGTGTGGGGCCGGTCCCTGGCCGTGGGAGTAGCGAAGTTGCGGCAACGGCCGCAGCGCACCATCGCGGTCAGGGTCATCCGTGGCTATCGCACCATCTCCTTCGAGGCGGCGTGTGTATTGGCTGGGACGCCGCCTTGGGTCCTGGAGGCGGAGGCGTTCGCTGCTGACTATCAGTGGCGGGCTGACCTTCGTGCCCAGGGCGTGGCACGTCCCAGCCCCAGTGTGGTCAGAGCGCGGAGGGCCCAATTTCGGCGGTCCGTTCTGGAGCCATGGTCCAGACGGCTGGCCGATCCTTCGGCTGATCGTAGGACCGTCGAGGCGATTCGCCCGGTTCTTGTGAATTAAGTGAATCGTGACAGAGGACGCCTCACTTTGCGGCTCACGCAGGTGCTCACTGGGCATGGTCTCGCATGAGGAGGTGACGGGGCGCGTGAGAGAAGCACAGGCCCGCCGCCGTCGAGCGGGGGCCAGGGAAGCGGATTTCGCCCAAGCCCTGGCCCCCTAAGTGTTTCGAGTCTCCCTCACATGTCGGCCTGGGGACTGGCGAAGGGAGCCTAAGAAGACGACGTGCAAGCTGCTCTGCACGCGTTTTACGTAAGAGCATCCGGGTGATGGAAGGCCGGCTATCCTCAACCCACGCTGGTTCTGACCCAGCGGGGTATTCCGTAGGATAGACCATTCTAACCAGCGCCGTCTAGGCGGGCTTCGGATAGCCTGCCGACCGAGAGGGCTGGTGGTCGTGGCGCCGATGACCGCCGGTCCGGCATCCCGAGGAGGAGGGTGATGGGAGAGATGTGCTCCGCACTAAACGCTTCACTTTCCCCCCTTTGACTTTTCATGAAGACTGTCTCATGCGAGGTTTGGATGCTGGTTGTTGAACGAGAGGAGGTTTTAGTCGGTTCAACTCCGACATGCCCCGCCCTCCATCCCCAGTGGAGGCGGAAGTACGGTGAATTCGTGCTGACAAAAAAAAAGTTCTGAGATTACTTCTAAGTATCTACTTAGTACTATAGAAGGTATTTGCTTCAATTTCGTGTTAATTAAAACTATTTTTATGTTTTGATCACGCTTTTTTATTATCATCATAATATAATTTACGACGTTTCGTATACTTTACAATTATCGCAGTCGCGAACGACTGGGATTTTATTCATCGACATTTAAATATTGTGCCATACCTAACTATCGTCTATGTATTTTATTTTTAAATAAAAACTTCTAGACTTTTCCGTTTCATTTCACACAGAACGAACTAATGATTTGTTTAGATTATAATATTATGAACATCAGAAATAATTTAATGACCATAAAAAACACGATATTAAACCGTAAAATTAGATTTGACCACATAACAATTATTTATTTAAATTAATCATTTATATTATCAACTTTTAAATAATCCAAAGCTAATTAATTACACGGTAATACTGACCTTGTAAATTGTAACCGCGTGCTTTATTCGCTCCGATCGCAATGATTATTGATTCCATGTCGATAAATATTGAAATGTCGTTGTTGTAGTTTAATATCGCTGTAGTAACAGAGCATAATGACCTTTACCTACGTGTACCAATGCTTTTTCACTGAGCAATCTTCCGTGTTTGATAATAAAGGCTCGCTAAAGCTGTAAAACCTTAACGGTCCACAAGAACCCATTTTCATACTTCAGTGTTTTCAATGTTTATTGCCTACGTTGCTCTTCGTTTAGTTACCTACTGCAATAACTCCGTTTTATTTCTCAACTAAAACAATAATATAATTATTTTATGAAAGTTTTCGATGGTAAAATTATACTGCTAGATATCATGAGAGTACCTCGTCATTGAAAGCAGTTTTGGGTCTAAGTTTAATGTAACTTCTTTATTGCTTAGTGTTTTGTGTTTATGCACGAGCTAGGCCCAAATAAGATGATATTGTTATCGACGCTTGAAAGGCAAACGTGACTGAGCGACAATAACTGCTTTGTACATAAATGATAGGCAATAACCATATTCGATGCGCAAAAAAATTATATTTCTAGGTCTATTAAAATAATTTCAATTCTACAGCTAGATTCGTTAAAATAGAATTTTTTTCAGGTATTTCAACTTTAAATTAGTCTACTGTAAAGTTCACGCATTGTCGCTTAGTCACGTTTGCCTTTCAAGCGTCGATATGTAATGCTTAATAATATTGAGTATTAACTATAATTGTATTGGCGGCTGAACTATCGCAACATTCGAAGCTCAAACACGCACAAAGGCTTACTTTAGAGTTCGTTCGTTCCGCGTTCTAATTTGAGTAATTAACAGGTGGTATATTCTTTATTTTTGTGGGGTGCGGTGAAGGGAACCAGGCCGCAGAAGCGGTCAGCGATTTAATAGAAAGATCTGGTCTAGTCTAGGTGTATACTTATTAGTAGTAATAGCAGATGATGATATCGCGCGAGGCAAATGACATCAGGCTCTAAAATTACGTCATGACGATTACGATCGCTCTAAAAAAAACAAAATGACTGAGGAGATATTATTATACTTTTCGTACCTACGCTACTTTACCACGCTACGCTGACTGATAGGCACCTTCGATCAACTTAAACATAAACATACCTACCATATTATGAAGTCGTCATGGTCTAAAGGATAAGACGTCCGGCACATTCGTATCTAGCGATGCAAGGGTGTTCGAGTCCCGAAGGCGGGTACCAATTTTTTTAATGAAATACGTACTTAACAATTGTTCACGATTGACTTCCACGGTGAAGGAATAACATCTTGTCATAAAAATCAATCAAGTAATTACTGGTGGTAGGACGTATTGTGAGTCCGCACGAGTAGGTACCACCACCATGCCTATTTCTGCCGTAAAGCAGTAGAAACCCGTTAGAGTTAGCAAAAAATCATAACAGACCTTCTTTGTAGAGCCGAATTATTGATTGCCGACATGATCTGTTCATCCGTTCATGACGTAAAAAATTCCCAAGTAGTAACAGGCTTTTTCCCCTGTTATTTCCATTTAAATGTTTGG